CTCAAGAGTACTGACGATTTTGCGTACCAAGAAGACGCAAGAGTGGCAGTCGAAATTGTTGAAGTTGAACCGCACGAGGAAGCTCCACTACTTGCAGAAGTTCCACAGTTAATTGATCTCGATGATAGTGAGGACGAAGAAAGTGATGATGTTGAGATATTAATTACTACTGATGAGAGCTCTAGCGAAAATGTGTTCATGTCCGATGATGAATTATCATAAAATAGACTTTAATACAAAAGGTGGTTGAACAAATATATTGTTGTATTCATATTATTAACTGTTTTACTAATTAATTACTCTTCATGGTGTTGGAGATCTCGCACGGAGCCTACCACGAATGCATGCAAGTGAGGCAAGACGTGCTAGCACCAGCTCTATGTGGGACTCTCGAGATGATGAGATTCGGAGGTTGAGAGAAGAGCTAGATGAAATTAGGGCTTCCCATGCTCGTGAATTATTGTCGATTAGAGAAGAGATGACCCGACTTTATGGAGGAGTTTTCCCACATGGAAATGGAGATGGCGGTGGAGATGGAGGAGGGGCGGGATTTGCAGGAGCTTGTTGAGTGTTATATTAGAATTGAAGAACAATATATTAAACTTAAGTTTTATGGTTATGTAAGTGGAGTTAGATTTGATTGTTATGTTGAATTTTTATAAATATTACTTGAAATTTAGTTGTACATTGGTGACTTGAATATTCTTGGTTGTTTGGTAATCTTCATTTCCAGTAATTGTTGTTGTTTGATGCTGGGATTTCTGAGCTTTGCTATGGATGTGTGCAAAATTGAAAAAACAGCAGCTTCCTGGTACAACCTGTCAAATTGGCGACAGAATTAGCGACGGAATTGCATTTCCGTCGCTATATGGTCAAAATGAATATTCCGTCGCTATTTCCGTCGTCAGAATTAGCGACGGAAATTTTCCGTCGTGAGTTCCGTCGCTTAATTCCGTCTCCAATTCCGTCGTAGACTAGTGACGGAATCAATAATCCGTCGTTACATTTACTACTAACGAAAAATTAACGACGGAACACATTCCGTCGTTATTTCCGTCGTTATGGAGATTACCTACGGAAATAAGGGTTTGGCGACGGAATAATTCCGTCGCCATTTCAGCAGTTTTTTGTAGTATATTGGTGTAAAAGTGCCTTTATCAAGTGTTGTTACTTGTTACGTAGTGCCAACAATAGCCAAGTAGAGCTCTTGAAAAATATTTGTGGATACGTACATTACTAAAGCTTTCAAGTTCAACTTGACAGTAACTCAC